CCCCTCAGCCCTACCTCCTTCCCTAGAGGTATTTTTAAAAACAGAACAACACAGTGATACAGGAGTTACAAGTGTATTCTTCCCTGCTAGGCCTGATCTTCAGAGATGATTGAGCACCTCAGCAGGTTCCCGGCTTATCGGCCTGCGCACATGGATGAGGCTGAGATGACATTAATGTTTAAAACATCACCGCTTCCCAATGGATCGTTTCCCCTATGGACTTGGGAGTGAAAAAAATTAAGCCGACTGAAGTCTGAATGTACAGTGCACTGCCTTAGACAGAAAGCCAGGTTTGTGGTGGAAGGACTTGGAACTTGAGCCACTGAACTGAAGGCATGAATAAGATCGGCCTTTAAACCTCCCAGGACCGATGTACACATGAGCTAGTGGTTCACCCCACGGCAGCAGGGACGGGACCGCGGCCTCTTCACAGCCACCCTCAGAGATGGACGCAGACCGGGCCAGCACATGCGGCATCGCTCTGCACGCCGCGGACGGACATCAGCCGCCTTTCCCCGCTGAGGGTCCGCGAGGAGGGCTGGCTCCTGCATGAGAGCTTGCTGATCCCTGGGCCAATCCAGCCCTGACACACGTGGCACCCCAAAGGCGGAGGCCCTGCCTCAGGGTCTTCAACCTGTTTTCTAACTGTGGCTACAGACACGTTAGAAATGAAGAGAAATGTAGAAAATTTGCGGAGATCCTAGCTCATGGCCCACTACCCCTGTCATACTTACCTATGTTTTCAGTAAGAGCCTTCCAACCCTTGGCTTCTGTTTCTTAACTTCCCTTTCTCCCGTGATCCTGTGTCCTCTATCCTACCCTGGCTACTTCCTCCCGTGGTACCTAGCCCTTGTCATGACCATACCTGCAACCCCATCACAACCTCGGTTCCTAGCACCACACGTTGGCCACCACCTCCTGGCGCGCCCACTGGCTTCCTCTATTGGGAACTCTTCAATTCCACTCATCTTACCAGTTTTTTACTTTCCCTTACACCCCTGATGCCTTCCGTTCTGCCCTGACCTCAAGTCAATTATATGGTCAGTCATTATAATCACTCCTTTGCACACACCCTCAACCCCCACCCCCTGACCCCTACCCACTTCATGGCACTCTCCTGGCAAACGCCTAACCCTGGTTAAGTCCATCCTCCAGCCACTCTGAGCCTGTGGTGCACAGCTGGCTGGAAAAAAATAGACAGCAATGCTGACTGGTCTCCCTGTATCGTGGTTTCTTAGCCTCGGCACTACTGACATTTTGAATAAGATAATTCATTGGTGTGGAGGGGGGGGGGCTGTCCTGCATACGGTGACCTCTACCCACTACCTAATGCCCCCCAAGTTGCAACAATCAAAAATGTCCGCAGACATTGCCAAAAGTCCCCTTGGAGGCAAAATCGCCCCAGGTCGAGAGCCATTCTTTATTCTAATGACTTCTGACATCAAGTGGGCCCTCAGCCCTGTGTGGCCATCAGACAGCACTCCCTGCCCCGCAACTGTCCCTCCGGTCTCCCGGACGACGGTTTTGTACCTTCTTTTGTCTCCCCAAACCTGCTTCCTCACCGACAGCTGATGGCCTTCACGGAGGAATAGAAGCAATCACAGTTCCCTCCCGCTCCCCCGGCCCAACAGCTGTGCCCGCGAGCTATGCATTCTCTCCTGTTTGATGCTCCGCTGTGTGTTCCCCTCTCAAGGACATCTCTCCGGCAGCGTTCCCTCCGGCCCCATCGTGTTCCTTCCCCTCTCCTCTCCGCCGCATCACGCCGTGTTCCGCTCCGGCCCCATCGTTCGTTCGTTCCTTCCCCTCTCCTCTCCGCCGCATCACGCCCATCAGCAAGAGGCTGCCTTCCCCGACCCGAAAAGCAAACACAAACTCCTCGATCCCCAAGCCTCCTTGAGCCACTGCCATCTCTGTGACCCTGACAGCAGGTCCCCCTTCAGGAACGGGCCGTGCCTGCTGTTCCTTCCCGTCTTCTGTTCTCCTTGAGCCCACTCCAGTCAGACCTCAGCCCCATCACCCCACCAAAATGCTCTAGTCAAGGCCCCCGACCAACTTACAATGCCAGGAGCACGTCGGTCTTCAGCTATCAACCTGTCCTATCAGCAGCATCTGCCATAACTGACCTTTGCTCTTGAACCACACACACAAAATAATCTCTCCAGGTTTTCCCCCATTATCTCTCTCTTTAAATATATTTTTATTGATTTCAGAGAGGAAGGGAGAGGAGAGAGATAGAAACAGCAGTGATGAGAATCATTGCTCAGCTGCCTCCACTACCTCTCTTCTGTCTCTCTCACTGATTCTTCCTCATCTGCCAAATCTCTAAATGTCAAAGGGCTCAAGGGTTCAGTCCTTGGACTTGAGCTTCTCTTCCTCTCTTGATGATCTTGTCGTCTCATCATCATCTCTGGTGCGTGTGCCACATGCATGTGTGGCCCAGAGCTGTCCCCTGAACTCCATGTCTAATAGCCAACATCGTATCTCCACTTGGATGTGAATTAAGCATCTCCAACTTAGCCACCCAACCCCAAACTCCTGTAGTCTTCCCCATCTTAACAACAACGCCGTCTTTCTAGTTGTGTAGGCCCCAAATTTGAGAGTGTTCCTCCATCCCTCTCCTTTTTCCACACCTTACATTAATAGATCATATTGGTTCTACTTTCTAAGTGTATCAGTTCAACCATTCATGCAACCTCCACAGCTGTCACTCTGGTCCAAGCCACCATCATCTCTTGCCTGGATTATTTCAATAGTCTCACTGCTTAGAAGACTTCCTGCTTCCCTGCAGTTCAGTGTCAAAATGCAGAGATCCTACTATGTGCACTTTAATCCTACTATGTGCATTGTCAAAATGCAGAGATCCTACGATGTGCAGCCGAAGGGACTCTTTAAAAACTGTAAGCATGATTGAGTCAACTCTCTCCACGACTCTCCAGTGGCTTCCCATCTCATCAGAGTAAGAGCTGAAGTCCAGACGATGACCTCATGTAGCCCTGTGTGCCTGCTACACTGCTGGCCTCTCTGCTTCCACCTCCCATTTTTACTCCTCACTCCATGTTGGCCTTAACTGCTTATCAACACTAGAGACACTCCTGCCTCTGTCATCCTCCCATGTTTTACTTGTCTTATATTTGCTGTCCCCTAACCACTATAATTTAAGTTCTGTGGGGACAGGGATTTCTGTGTTTGGTCCCCAATGTGTCCCTAACACCTTGCACAGTGTCTGGCAATGTTGAATGACCAGAACAGAATCCTGACTTAAAACTCCTTCAGAGGCCTCCCCACCGTCCGCAGTGGGGGGCAGTGTAAAAGCCCCCATTACAGACAACGCCCTTGGCATTCTGATTCCTTTTTCTCGCTGACCTCATCTGCCATCACACACACACCTGAATATCCCACGTTCTTTCACACCACATGCCTTTACACGCATGCACTGTTAGCTTTGCCTAGAACAACCCCTTTCATCTTGTCCAGCTGAACTCCCGTTCGGGGCAGTTGTCAGCCCCACGCTTCCTTCTCTACAGTCTCACCGGATTAACTCAGGAGTTAGACGCGCATCCTCTCACACTTCCCAGCAGCCAGCTCTGACCTCGGGGCTATTACTCATCAGACTCTGGTGAAGATGCAGGTTTGTCCTCCCTACTGTGGGGAGGAGCGATGTTTTGTATTTGTCTGGGTGCATGGCACACAGTAGGTTCTCAGTAAATGTTTGCTAAATGGATGTGAACTACACACCTAGCACGCAGAGGTGGTGGCAGTGATGGGAAGCAAGATGCCAGTCCCCAGGACTGAGCACAGATCTTAGACCAACTCTGAAGGGTGTAGGATAATTAACACCACAGTGTAGCGCCCCCTCTCCTCCCCGTGCGTCTGCGTAGTCGGTGCGACCTGTGCTCCCTCTCAGCGGGGAGAGAGCTGATCTCTGCCCGGGCGCCTCTGACATCCACTCGCTCACTCATCAAAGGCTCACCAAGCATCCACTCTGTGCTAAGTCTCATCTGCTTTGATTCCCACAATCTCTCTCGGCACTTTATCCATTTTTAGTCGAGAGAACGGAGGCTTAGAGGCTAATTTTCACAAAGTGGCACAGATGGCAAGAGACAGAGTTGGGAATTCACTGGTTCCCAGGCCCTGGAGGGTGGTGCCGGGCTCGGGGAGGGCTGGACCGCAGCGGCTCTCACCTGAAACTGCTGCTGCTCGGAGCCGGGGTCGCCGCCGGAGCCGGAGCCGGGGACGCCGCCTCCTCCTCCACCTTCTGCTTGGACGCCGCGTCCTGCAGCTGCTGGGCGCCCCTGTGGATGGTGGCGGCCGGCACCCCGGCCACTATACTGCAGGGACGGACAGGTCGCTGAGGTCCCCCGGCCTGCCGCCCACCGGAGTCCCCATGGCCCACGGGACCAGGGCAGGAGCGTACCCTGGAGGTAGCCGTGGGTTCGGAGGGGCGATCACTCTTACCTGTTTGTGGGCGGCCAAGCCCACGACCACAGGAGCCGAGACCCCGCGTTCCTCACCGCCTGCATGACTTGAATTGACCCCAACGACTTTCCGTCCGCGGCGCCAGCACCATGAGCGCCCGTGGGGGGAGCCCCGAGGGAAAGTCACCTGACTCCTCCTCGCCGGGTCCGTTAAAGCCTCTCACCCCCGTGTATGTGCTCCATAGTAGCCGTCTCTGTGATTTTCAGCTGGGGATTTCTCTTCTCGCCCCTAAATTCTAACAGGAGCCCCCCGAGCCTCCCCCCCGCATGGGAATGGTTCATCCTGAACCTTCCGGACGCGCCGTCCCCGCGCTGCCTTGTGGGAACACGGGATTGGTCGGGCCGCGGCCGCGGTGCATCGCGGGAGAGCGGGGATGGCGGCGCCGGGAGCGCGCGCGCTGCTGGGGCTGGCGAGGGGCTGGGCGCGCGGGTTCGGGTTCCGTCCCGACTCCGGCACCAGTGAGTCCGTGTGACCTTGGACCGGCCACCTCCCCTCTCGGAACTTCAGGGCACTTACCCCGCAAAATGGCCCCCGCCTCTGTGGTTGGCTTGGTGCACAGTAGGCGTCCGGTAGAAGGTGGTGTGTTCCCCTCGGCCTTCTTATCGTCTCCTTCGGCAGCTCTTCGGGGACGCTCCTTTTTGTTTGCGGTCAGCGCCCGACGGGAGCGGCGGCAAACGAGGCGGCCTCGGTCGCTGTCCTGGTGGGCGGCTCGGAGCGGAGAGGGTCTCTGTGGGGAG